CCGGAGACTCAGGGAGGCTTACAATGCGTTAAGCAATAGCCTTCATACTTTTGTATATTTATACAAAGTCAGCTTATTGCCCCCATAATCTGGGTCCTCATGTTACCTACCTTAGAAAGGATGGAAGGCTGAGTCAACCTTGAGCCTGGTGAGATTTGAACTTGCAGTAATTGCAGGCAGCAGATGTAAGTGGATGTTAATTAGTCTGCTGAGCCACCAGAGCTCCTCAACTCCTTTTTGGTGTTGTGTCCGTGGTCCTCAAAGGGATCATGCATATTAGCTTCCCATCCTGAATCTACCATATAAATAGATAGGCATCTATTTCAGACTGTGCATATTTACATTTAAGAGTCCCTAGGGAGTTGGGCGGCATAGAAATGCGACTAATAAAATAAATAAATATTTTATTACATTTGCAGGTCTCACTGATGAATAAGCACAGCATCACGGGCATCCATGACTGGCCAACATCTACATGGCAGGGACATGAGGGCAATTTGCACCCATTGTCTGCAAAGTGGGTCTTTGATTGCCTGAGTTGTGGCTTCTGTTTTGATGCTGCAGAGGGCACCGCTGCTCAGCAGCTGCCCATGCCCAGTGGGGTCCTTATCATTTTTATTAAATTTCTTTTCCACTTGACTTAACTGAACATCAAGGGTAATAAAAATAAACCAACGAAAGTGAAATGGTGCGGGAATGGAGCTGTTACAATGCCACTGAAGTTTAGAAATGAAATAATGCTTTAGGTTTATTTTTCATGTTTTGGAATTTATTTTTGTTCATCGTACAAATCACTCCTTTATTGTTTAAATGAATAAAATGACAGTATTGTACAAACTAAACACTAACCTCATTGTACCAAGGCAAGTTGTTTATTCGCCCCATTAGTCTGTATGACCCCAGAGGATATATTTGCAAATAGTAGGCTTCTGTTTATGATCCTTGTCTCCAGACAAATGCTAAGAATTCAATCAACATTTCATCTTCATTCTGAGAACACACACTTATTATTTTGTGTGAAATAAAAATGTGCACAGATTTATTGAAATTAATATTTGGGAAGAAGTAAACTGAATGAAGAGTCTACTTTGCTCTCCAAACTATTGAAGTTAACATCTTCCCCTTTTTATCCCAACTATATTCAGCAGGTATACTTTCTATTTGTTGCATAATGAAATAGCTGAACACATATATGCATTGTTACATACATACAACCACCCTCCCCCCTCAAACACATACATATAGCAACAGCACATAGCAAGATTCTTAAAATCTGAATTTTTTTTGAAGAGAGTTTTTTTTCCAAGAATAGCTTTCAAAATGGTCAAGATTGGTACAAATATCTTTTCTTTCTGAAGTCTGGTAAATTGTCCCCATCCTCCATGCCTGCAATCAAATTGTAATAAACTAAGCTTGGAGTATCAGTCTTCCTGGTTACTTTTCATGTATCCTAGTGCAAATATTTTAGTCTCAAATAAGCCTATAGACTTCAGCAGCTTTGGTGTGCTTTGGCTTCAATAAACGCCCTTGGGAAATGTCTCATTATCAAGGCACAATTTGGGGGGTGTTGTAAATTTGCTCGCAAAAACTGCAGTTGAGTTGAAGAAATCAATAATCTAGGTGACATCAGCTCTAAGATGCTTCAGTAGCTGTCCCTGTGGATTAGACACACAAGTTTGGTAGTTTTACAGAACCAAATCCAAAAGAAGGGTCACTTGCTTTATATACAATTAGTGGTCAAGATTTTAATGTGAATTCTATATTCCACTAGAGAAGAAAGCAAAAAGAGACAAGGAACCAAGTGCACAGGCACTGAATAGATAATACAGTACCTGGCTCAACAGCAGTAATTGTGCAAGGGATCTAGGAGTCTTACTGGACCACCACTTAAGTATGAGCCAGCAGTGAGCTTCAAATAACATGCAAAATATTTTAATTTCTCCTTTGCCTAAAAATTTTAGGGAACCAAACATTGCAAAGGTGTATAGTATTCAAGAAACCCTATTTGACACAGCAATTTCAAGCTCTCAGTCATGCAATCACCGGTGAGAAAAAATAATGCAGTTCAGATGCTGAGCTACAACTGAGAAACAACTAAATATCCATGGTGCTGCAAAATTAACAGATGGGGAGACAGTAAGAACTTATTAAAACACACAAACCATTTTTATATAGCAAGAATTTTAGTATTTATTACTAGTTTTCAAAATTAAAACTTCATGTCAAACATTATCAACAAACACCATCAAGGAAGGAATGTCTTATATAAATAATATGTGCTCAAGTTTGAAAATGTAATCTCTCATATGTGTCTATTCTGCAACAATTTCTGGGGGGTTTAGTGAAATTTATTCCAATGTAAGTCATAGGGGACTGCACATTAAGGCACATTTTGTTAGTTCAGATATATAAATCACTGATCGATTTACAAGGATTTACAAATCCTATTGATTTGAATAAATCTACCTAAGCATGAGTAAGAATCAAATCCAGTAATGAAACTACGATGGGAGGAGCCTGGCTAGCAGAATAGTTATATCCATCAACACACCATTGAAAACTACTTCAGAGGATGTCTTGAATGGAATTTAAGGAACACCCAATGATGAAAAGTCCCATTGTACCAGCCATAGTTATGTATACAAATTTGTATCCAAATCATTCCAATAATATATACTTAAATTCACCAAAGAAAAGAAAAGCTCTTCTCTGGATGCTAATTCAGCTAAAACAAAACAGAACAGAACAAAACAAAACAAGGAGCAGCTATTAACTGAAACAATTTTAACACCAGGAACATAATATACAACCAAAACAAATTATATTTCATACAAAAATAATGACAGAGTTCATACATTGATCCCAATGTATGGATCCCATACATTGATCCCTATAGCTTTTTGCTTTCAGACACAGATCTGTTAAACAAAACATGGAAGTCTGCTTAAAACATTTTACTTAAGAAGTCACAATTGCTAGGTGCATACAGACATACATACAAAGTTGAAAGAAACAATATATTATTCAGATTAGTGTGAGGCATGAAGGTAATATTTAAGGCTCCCTGCAAGTTATTAGGGATTCATTTTGAGTTCCTCGGATCAGTGAAAAAGAGAACAGTTGCATCAGTATCAGCACCTTCATTATCATGAGTAATAAACTTTAACAGAATGGTCCAAATTTTCAATAAATGACTTTTTGATCTGAGGCTTGGTAATACATAAAAAATACAGTAATGCAACATGCTTTCTTATTGCACAAATAGATGCGGTTCAGGTATTGATAGTAGAAAACTATAAACTAATTTTCCATATACCACCAAGATTTTTTGTTGTTGTTCTTAGTTAAAACCAAGATTGTGCTTTAAGTACAGATAGTCCTCAACGTAGGCCATAACTGAGCAAAATTTGTTAAATGAACTTTGCCCCATTTTATGAATTTTCTCACCACATTTGTTAAGTGAATCACTGCATTCTTAAATTAGTAACAAAGTGGTTAAGTGAATTTGGTTTCCCCATTGATTTTGCTTGTTAGTAGGTTGCAAAAGGGGATCATAAGACTCTGGGACACTGCAACCGTCATAAAGGTGAGTCAGTTGCCAGACATCCAAATGTAAATCACATGACCATGGGGATGCTGCAACGATCTTAGGTATGAACAATGGTCATAAGTCACTTTTTTCAGTGCTGTTATAACTTTGAACGGTCACTAAATGAACTGTTGTAAATTGAGCACAACCTGTAGATTAAAAAAAAAAATCTTTTAATGACCTTGTAAGCCCTTGCAAGGCGGAGTCAGGGCAACTGAATGGAGCTGAGTATTTACTGACCGGATGCCCTTCCTGTCGCCAATGCAGAGTTCACAGCTGATATTTACTCATTGTGCCCAGAGAGAGAAATATCTGCCTCTACCTAGAAATCTGCCTCTCTCTACTACCTGTAGATATCAAGGGAAATTAACTGCAGAGAATTTGCAATCATTTCAGTGAAGCTCAATTTAAGTTTAGGTTTATAGGTGCAACTTGAGATCATTCATATTTCAGAGTTGACACCTACCTTGGAGAGATGTTAAAAGATGTCCATGTTTGTCATGTGTTGTACAGATCAATATGGAAAGATCAGTTTTTCACCTGGGCTTGCTGCTGTTATGATATATCAATTGGGCATTTCATTCAGAAATGCAAAAATCGTCACAAGCACACAGTTCAGTTTCATTGGGCTTTTAAAGAAAGGTAAAAGTGATGGCAGGCTGCATTCACAATGTATTAACATTATTAAACAAATTAACATAATTAACATGGCGTCTATGGATATTTTTAGATGTTCAATGCCAGGATTTTAAATTACGGTGAACGTGAAGCAATTTACCATGCTATATGGATGGCTGAATCCCAGAGTCTGATATTTGTTCATCGAAAAATTAAGAAATGTCAAAATTGCATCATGTGCAATTTTTTTTAAGAGCCAAGAAATGGACTGGATAAATTCAAACAGTAAAAAAGAATATAGTCAACTACCATGTTTTCCCGAAAACAAGACCCTGTCTTATATTTTTTTGAACCCTGAAATAAGCACTTGGTCTTATTTTCAAGGAAGTCTTATTATTTTGGGGAGTGTGGAGCAAGACGGGGCTCCTCTTGTTGTCTTGCCTGATTTCCAGCTCTGTCTCCCTAACCCTAACCAGAGGAAATGGCGGGGAACGGCTGCACATGTGTTTAAATATTTTCTGGGAGGGCTTATTTTTGTGCATGTGCTCAAAAGCCCAATTGGGCTTATTATCCAAGGTGGTCTTATTTTTGGGGATACACGGTATATTGACACAAATATCATCACAGCAACAAGCAAGTAAACTGTATTCAAATCTTTTTGCACAAAGCAGGTAGATTCACTTAGAAGCATAGGCTAGAGAACATCTATATCTTGGCTTGATTCTGAAAACAATTACACAAAGTGCTGCAGAACACAGAAGCCAATGAGGCAAAGTAAATACCAACTCAGAGCTCAAGTAAGGATGAGGGATTTATTTGTCTTTTATTTTCAGACTAAGAATCCAGGAATCGGGGTTGGTGAATGAGGGAAGGTTCTTTCTGTCCTCTTCTACACTGGTTGGCAGGGACACCTGTTGGATTGGGCATCATTTCCAAAAACATGGCATCAAATTTCTAAGCCCAATTCCTTTTTGGAATGCGTTTTTGTAATCTTCACCAGTAAGCAAAAAAGACAACATACAGTTGCAAAATGTAGGGAATTATGTTAACGTGACTGCTTGTTAAAGAATGAAAATACGAAGTCACGATTGATTGTAAAGGGATATTTGTGTCATATTTTAGTTCCCCACATTACAAAGAGAATACCAAATTATTTTAAAGCCTAAACAAAACCATTACTGAAACTGACATTTCGGAAAATGAATAGTGAAAATGCATTGGGACTTATGTGAAATACAATGTGACTGTTACATATGGCCTCTCTATGTTGGCTAAATGAAGAATGACAGAATATCAGCACACAAAATGTAATGAAATTAATGTTTTTGATAAATCATGAGATCACAGACAACATCTGTGTAATTTTTTTGATAGTGCCCACAGGGTAGCAATACTAAATGATATGCAAAGGAAATCAGAAAGACAGGTGGGAATGAAACTGTGATGTCTCTTAGGCAAATCAATATTTTGGCAACTTTGCTTTGCCAAGCGTTGTCAGCATTATGTGATATTATATACCGAGACCCTCTTAGACATCACCAAAGAATCCCATAACCGGCTGTAAATATGATGGCTGATGAAAGCTTGGCTGCCTTCTAAGTTTGTCTTACAAAAACATACAATGTTCTGAGACACAAGATGTGAATTTTAAGTCTTTTGTTCCAGAGCAATTCACAATCATAAGAATTCTTATGCTGATGAGCTGTTTCAGCAAATTAATTCCAGAGTTACCAGTGATTATTGCTCTTAAATAAATACCTTGAAGATTATTGTTAAATATTTTGGTCCTGTCAAATAACAGCTTAATTTAACAATGGTCACCACTCTCAAGCCACAACAAACCAAGAGAATGTAGAGAAGCGGGATCAGAATTCCTCAGGACCCCCAATTCCTGAGAAACACACATTCTCGATAATGTTTAATGTGCTGTAATGTCAGGCATCCATCTATTGGGGAAGCCCATATTTTATTTATTTGTATCCCACCTTTTATTATTTTTACAAACAACTTAAGGTGGTAAGCATAATCAATACATCATCTTCTTCCTATTTTCCCTACAACATTGTGAGGTGAGTTGGGCTGAGAGTGAGTGACTGGCCCAAATCACCCAGCTGGCTTTCATAGCTAAGGTGGGAATTGGAACTCACGGTCTCCTGCTTTCTAACTTCGTACCTTAACTGCTAAACCAAACTAGCTCTAGATCAGGGGTCGGCAACCTTAAACACTCAAAGAGCCACAAAGGTGCTAACCGGAAGCCCCCCCATTGAATTCTGGAGCCGACCAGAAGTCCGGTTCCCCCACTATAGAGTCTCCTCCTAGCGTGGCGTCCTTTTTCCTCTGCCGACCAGAAGTCCGGTTCCCCTACCATACAGTCTCCTCCTAGAATGGCATCCTTTTTCCTCTACCTGTCCTATCAAGGAAAGTCCTATCAATTGTGGAGCTAACCGGCGACAGGGAGCTGCAGCAGAGGGATGAAAGAACCACATGCAGCTCCAGAGCTGTGGGTTGCTGACCCCTGCTCTAGGTCCTTCATTAGGAGTTTCTTTTCACGTTCAAATATCTAAAGATAGGGTGGTTGCAAGCCAGGGCATAGTCTCCTTGTGCTATGCACTGGTGTGCTAAATACATGGAACAATATATTTATAGTGTACAATTGCATAGTGTATAAATAATTTCATTATAATGTTGGGCAATGTGACTTCAGATAATGTGAATGGGTGTTAAGTGAATTTCGTTGTATGGGTATACTGTGTATACACATACAATGACAATAAAGTTATTATTAATAGGTGGATAACTCAATGGTGTTTCTCCCAACATCAAAAAATGTAAGTTCATATATTGGCAAAGTTACATATGAAAAACACAAGTATTTGTCTTTTTAGAAGATGACAAACTATTTCAAGATAGTGGGGTATATATGAAATTTGACTTTGCTTTTGGAAACATTCAAGATTGTTTTTTCTTAAGTGCTAATTGTCTGTTTTAGGGGGGGACTGAGCTGAAAGTGGTGGGGTCCAATGAGGTCCATTCTTAAGTAGCATCTTTTTAAAGAAATGTTCACTTTGAATTTTACATCAGGAACATCCCAGTCCTATGATCTTGTAGATTGTGAAAATCACTAAAATCTAATAGAATATTAACTGATGAGGTGGCCAGTTCCAAAGTACAAAACAAGCAATCTTCTGAAAAATGTTTCTGTGACCCAAAGAGTTGCATTCATGTGGCAATGCTTGAAATCACTGTGTGTTTGGAGGCTACAAGCACCTGGCTCTTCATGCTGTCAGGATCATTACACTTTAGTTCCCAATTGGCTAGCAAGTGATAAGTGCCTGGCTGATTCTTCCATCCTAGAGTGCCTTATGATAGCAATACGAACTGCTGGAGGAACTACCCAATGTGAGTTTACATGGTTCTTTTAATTTTTCGTGCCTAGTGAGATGAATCACATCATTGACATATATGATGCTGCTTTATATTATGAAGGAATGCTTGTCATCCTTCTGAAGGGATCGCATCTTTATGTCCAGTTTCTAAAACAAGAAATGTGAATTCTTGCCACAAAAGGGAAACACACCTAGAACATCCAGCCAAAGTTGCAAGTTATCCAAAAAGAAATTTCAAAGCAAAATTACTTTTTTTTAAAGGCTTGTGATCCCATTTTCAATATAGCTATGAGACTCTTCTTTCTCTTTCCCATTTTGGATGATCTGAAAGGTGTTGAAGTGGCTGTAATTCTAAGAGAAAGGGTTGTCGAAAAAATTACTTCTGATCTCTACAGCCGAGTGACCACATTTTCTTGGAGATGTCAGCAATAAAACTTTTTCTCCTAGAGTTGGAAGACATTTTTAACCTTTTGTACATACTTTTGAAATGAAGGTTTTAGAGATTTAAGACTACAAGGTTTGCCAAAGAGTTTACTGAGTGAGAAAGAGAGAGGGAGGGAGGGAGAGAGAAGGGGGAGAGAAAGAGAGAGAGAGAGAGGGAGGGAGGGAGGGAGGGAACAATAATGAAATGAAATATTCATAACGGGTCCCATAATAACATAATATTCTGTTGTTAAATTTACTTTTTGTCATGGAAAAAGATACTCAAAGTACTGTACTTCCTTTTCGTTGAACTCTCCCCTCCCCCCCGGCCAGATTTCTGCCCAGCCTCCTTTGAGGTAACAGCCCTGGTTGGACACCAGAATGACACCAGTTAAATCAGCTGTGCTCTTTCTCCATCTGTTGATTTCCCCATACACTGCTTTTAAATTGTGGTTTTGAGAAACATTGCTGATTCTGTACTTCCCATTTCTAGAGTTGTCATTCTTGAACTTATCAGCGTACTAAGCAGCTCCTACATGTAGCTTGCTTGGCTTCTGTTTCACTCAGCATAGTAATTTCCAAATTGCCACTTCTGATGAATATTGCTCGAAAAACAAATGTTAGCCCTCAGGGTTTTCTGCGTCTGATCTATTTCCAAACATGTGGCCCTTGAAAGCTGTTCTAAAACAATGTGATCCATCTAAAGAGAAGAGAGAAGATGGTGACAATGGATTATATGCACAAAGCTGAAAAGTAAGCCATTGCTTTTGTACTAGAAAAAATCTTGACAAAGTAACTCTTGCCATGTTTCCCGACATACATCATTTATAAGCAGAACAGGAAGTATACAACATGTCTTCTGGACAAGAAGTGTACAACAGGTCTATCTGTTCTTGGACTAGAGTCTCTATGTGGCACAGCTTGCTAATTCTATGAAAATTCAAAGACAATTCTTCCCATCTAAATGGTAATTGTTATGCAAAGGAAGTTATATCATACGGCCTTTGCAATAATGGGTAATTTAATGGCAGGTGAGTCTGCCCTTCAGATTGCAATATTACTCAGCTGATGAAATAGGGGGCATATCACAATGAAAAGAGGGCCGGATAATTTGTTAATTGTCAAAATCAAATTATAAATTCCTGAAAAGTTTTGAATGAGCAAGAATCATATTCTCAGGTGCAACTAACTCTAAGTAGGTTTCCTAATAAGTAACGTAACTATTCTCAAACAGCTTATTTAAGAAATGAGTTTGAAGTATCTTTGATAAAAATCGATATTTAAAAGCTGAAAAAGGTAGGGAAATGAAAAAAAACTTCATTGCCACAAATATTCAAAATCTAGATTCACAATGCAAGTAAATACTGCTCATCATAATGAAGGGATTTTCAGCATTCAAGGTACAGCATTGGCAATAAAAACAAAGATCATTAGCATTTCACTCATTTCTTGCTAATTGCAGGTAGTCCTCAACTTATGATCAAAATTGAGCCCAAAATTTCTGTTGCTAAGTGAAACATTTGTTAAGTGAGTTTTGCCCCATTTTATGACTTTTCTTGCCACATTTGTTAAGTGAATCACTGCAGTTGGTAAATTAGTAACACAGTTGTTAAGTGAACCTGGCTTCCCCCTTGACTTTACTTGTCAGAAGGTCGCAAAAGGGGATCACATGACCCACGGGACGCTGCAACCATCATAAATATTAATCAGTTGCCAAGGGTGTGAATTTTGATCATGTGACCATGGAGATGCTGTGATGATCATAAGTATGAAAATAGTCATAAGTCACTTTTTTCAGTGATGTTGTAACTTTGAATGATCACTATGTGAATTGTTGTAAGTCGAGGACTACAACAATTAGGACTATAGTCGAGGGACTAAACTAAATCTGTGAAAGCATGGAAAGAAACCACCCAGAATTACCCCGAGGTAAGATAGGCGGCCAATAAATTTTTCAAATAAATAAATAAATAAACTTTTTAGCATCCCACTTCAGTGTCTCTCCCATCAGATTCGTATCTTAGGCTTGATGTCTTGCAAAGTGTTCCTATCTGTGTCAAGTTGCATGTGTGTACATAGATGTAAGCACAATGTTGATACTAGAGGTTGTCCTTGACTTACAACCATTCGTTAAGTGACTGTTTGAAGCTACAATGGCATTGAAAGAAGTGACTTATAACTTCTTTTCACACTTATGATCATTGTAGCATTCCCATGTTCACATAATCAAAACTCAGATGCTGGGCAACTGGCATGTATTTATGACAGTTTCAGTGTCCCAGGGTCATGTGGTCCCCATTGTAACCTTCCTATCCGGCTTCTGACATGCGAAGTCAATGGTGGAAGACAGATTCATTTAACAACTGCATGATTTGCTTAACAACTACAGTGATTCATTTAACAACTGTGGCAAAAAGGTCATAAAATGAGGCACAACTCACTGAACAACTGGAAATTTTCGCCTCAATTATGTTTCTAAGTCGAAGACTCCCTCTACTATATCCAGAAAGATAGAAGTAGGTTTCTTTCAATTATCTGGAAGCTGCTTATCTTTGGCAAGATGGGCAGCATGCACATTTGATAAATAAATTTTTTCCTTTTTGCCCTTCTATACAAAGAAAAATGAAGAAAAAGTTTGTCATGACTACCCCCAAAGAACAGGCTGCTCCGCTGATTTTTCTTTATTTTCAATAGAAACAGCATAAAAGGCCCTTGTAAATAACAAGGTCTTGTAAATAACAGCTATTTCTTTTGTCTAAAAAAAATCCATACTTTGGTTTCCTGTGACAGAGATATCTTTAGGCTGCATTTCTCCCATAAGCCTTATATTCTGTTCCTTTAACATCCAAAATTCCCATAAAAACTAATTTGATATTTTACCACAACAGATAAAGCAATATTGTATATTGAATTAACATACACATATTGCAATAATATGTGTCCAATTGTGTTTAATTAGTTTTTATAGTCTAGCTAGCTAGAAAAAGAAAACAACAACACCCATCCAAGACAACTTAATGGATGAAAAATGTTCTTAAATTTTCAGGAAGCCTTTTAGCTCAAGACAATACTTTTTCCTTCTGAATGATGGAAGAATAAATGGAAGGCATCTCTATAACCAAGACTGGGTACATGATTACTGATGAGATACTCTAATTGCTGTAATTGACCTTCCCCACAAAAACCAAAAGACTCTACTGACATATTCTATCCCCATTCCAATTTTAGATGCAGAAAAATAATTCTAATTTACTTTGGCATTTTCTTAGCATTAAGATCAATTTCTAGGTCCTAGCGCTGGCTGGGGGATTCTGGGAGTTGAAGTCCACCCATCTTCAAGCTTCTAAGGTTGAGAAACACTGTCCTATAGCTATGGAGAGTAAAATAGAATTTATTTTTTCTTTTTCTAAAAACATTCATTAGACCATTTTCCCCCGGATCAGAACAGCTTGGTAAAAACTATTTTTGACTGCTAAGTGAGCAGTTTATGCTGTCATCTAAGGTAAATAAATCTGAAAGGTTGAAACTATAGCTTTGACAGGTTTGTATCAAAGCAACAGGAAACCGAATGAGATTATTTTTCAATAACGTCAATAAAACATTGGCTCTTTAAAAGACTTTCCAGCACAGCCCAATACAAAATTGGATGCATATATTCCAACTGGAACAAGTAAGTTATTCACTGCTGTTGTTTTACACTTTTTTTTCTTATTTACATTTATATCCTGCCTTTCCTATTAATAGCGAAAAGCAGATTACATGAGGTTCTCCCTAATCTTTCTCCCACACCACCAATCCTTTGAGGTGGAATGGACTGAGAACGTGTGATTGGTCTACGGAGTTCCATGATCAAGTGGGAGAGGGGCACCTGGCTGTCCTTGTTACTTTAACCTCTATACATACTGACATCTATTCTATAATATAAGGAGCAATTTTTGCATTTCATCTAACCAATGTTGTTTTATAATGACGGGGAGAGTTTCTCCATCTTGTAGAGAGGCATTTTCTCACAGCATGAGATTTTTTTTTTAAACTACAAGTACTGAATCTGGAACATATCCAATGCAACAAATATTGTTTTACATTAATTTGTAAGACTGCTCTTTTAGTGCCCTTTGTATCAATCCATATTTTGGATATTATAGACATTATTTAGTGTCTTTTTTCTTCCTGCTTCACTGTTTTTCACCACACCCTTATGTCATTTGTTTCAAGTAACAGAGTAATTTATAGCAAGTCCTAGCCAAATTTGTCGGATGTTAAAAAAAAATCCATGCAGGGTTACTGAGGAAATTACAGGGAACTTGGCAGAGGTGCCCACCGTTCCAATGCTTTCATTAGAAGGATGAATCATTCAGAATGATGAAAGCAGTGTTGCTCCACAAAAATACAAGCTCCACCCCTTTTGTACATGTCTGCAATTTCATAATTTCTGTGGAAAAAAAGGTAGAGCTTGTTATCACCCACCAACCTCACACCACCTACCTAGCTTTGGAATTAAGAAAGAAGGAAATGACAAATTGTTTACATATTGTTGACAAGAAAGCTGTCCCTAAAGTCAACTAGTCATGAAAGAGACCTTCCTTGGGGGAAGGTGGGGGTTTTGCAAAATGCATGAGTCACTCTTATCTGTGTTTAGTGTGAGCTGCCTATGAGTTATATCTGTATTAGATTTGGGTCTAAATCTGATGGTTGCCTAGTAGCTTTTTAGTGTTTATTAACTTGTGGGTTGTAAATTTTTGTTTGGCAATTTTGTTTTTTAATGACAATATTCCAATTTGGCTATCCCAAGGAACATGTCCCTGCTGAAATAAATGGGAAGTGATATAATTGAACAGCATTAAACAAAAGGCAATGTTCCCAAATTTATTTTTGCTGCTACACTTTTCACTTAAAAATGGAGCATGGATAGAAATTCCATGACTGGCAGATAATAAAATTTAGAACTTAAAGTATCTGTCAGGTATAGCTCCAACCCTCCCCCCGCCTTTTTTTTTTTGACAGTGGTTTGATTTTACAAAATTTGGTACTAGCTTGGTAGCCCTTAGACTTTCAGTCAGACTTTCTACTTGCAATACTCAAGTTAAAAGTGTGAAGCTAGCAATAAAGAGACCCATGTCCAAATCCTGGCTAAACTTTAAGCTAACTACTGGGTGACCCTGAACAAGCACAATCTTTAGTCTATTTCCAAAAGTGCATTTTTTCAAGAGGCAACTGGACTTCAGAAAGTCCAGTTGCCTTTTGAAAAAGCACCTTTGGGACAACCATGACCTGGATGACTGAGAATCTCCGTAGACATTCTTCAGTCTAATGTTCAGATCAGGGATATTGTGAAGAGTTAAGTGCAATCAGAATGATATGCACTGCTCTGGACCTCTTGGAGGTAGCTGATGATAGATTAAATATTCATTACTTCTCTTCCCAGGGGAAAAAAAAGCTAAGAGTAAACCTTGCATAAGTCCTTTCCTTACTTGAATAACAAATGTCCGCCTGTCTGTCATTGGCATACAAAGGGAAATGATGTAGCAAGCTGTCTTTGTTTTGAACCAGTTCCACTTTAGCCACAGTGAGAGGGGTTGTTATTTGCTAAACAGCTGCACTTACGAGTTCTGGGTGAAAAGCTACCAGTGATTTATGCAACCATTTCTGGCTATTGTTTCTTTTATCGCAAGGGTGCAGACCCAGGGTCCCTTCAGCATCAATAAGTGCCAGGCAGGAGTCTTCATGTTGGATTAGCCTCAGCCAAGTGTAGTTGAACTTTTGGTTCTGCACATAGAAAAGAATTGGCAAAGATAAAGATTCAATCAGGGTTTTCTGAATTACAGTGACTATGCCTTGGATCACTCTAAGATGCTCTTTCCAGGGGTTACTCAAATACTGACCAAAGGTTCACTATAAATAAGACAATTTCCTTTCTCAGTTAGACCAGTGCTAAAGGCACACATAAGATATATTTTTCAAACTTATAATCCATTAAGTAAAAGGCAGCCTGTTAAACTGACATTTTTATTGTCCCCTTCCCCCCTCTCTACATACTTACCTTTTTGTTACTTTAAAAATGCACTGAACTATGTTTGGTGTATTAAATTGAAAATGTAGGTTATTCAAACTTAAGTTCACATTTATTTTTTTTAATTCACTTGAACACAATTTTTTATTATAAATTTATTATAAATGGACTGCTGCTTCATTTGTCCCTTCCTTTAATAAAGTTATTATTGAAAACATAAGCAACTGTTAATTCACCTAACACAAAGGAAGTTGCATATTCAGAACAGATCTAGAAAAGATTAATTTTCAGGGGAAAATGTTGAAGGGGGACAATAAGATTCAAAACACACACATATTGTTACATGAAAAATGATCTGATCATGTTATTTTCTGCATCAGAGATACTATTGCTCTCAGCATTTCCGTTCTTTTAATTTTATTAAAAGTTTGCCTATATTGAGACAAATGGATATGTATTTTCAACTACTACCCCCTCTTAAAAATAAAATGTTAGAAAATAATGCATAATCCATTTTAAAAAATTTCTTGGGGCACATACATTAAAAAAAAATTCTTAAGCCTCTTCTGCGTGACATTGCAACTACATCCTCCACCTTCTTTTTTTTTCCTTTTTTTTTTCTTCTTCTTGTGGGTCCTCATGTCGGTATCCCTGGCAGAACCAACAGGGCATTTGTTTTGTTTGTTTTGGTGAGTGCAAAAAGTTAGGAAACATGAGCAAACTTGAGAGAGGCCACAATCCTGATTTGTCTGGATGCAGATTCCCACTTCCCAAGGCCACCCAGCCAGGATCAGGGTGCTCTTGTCTAATTTCACCTTCCAAGGTGAATCTCCTTAGACTTCTTCGGGGGGGGGGGCATCACAAGCCTGTGCTCATCTTTCTCCGATCAGCCTGACTGTTGCACCCCTTCTGCTTCTTGTAGGGAAAGGGCCAGAGTGATTCAAGCAGAGGCCATCAAAAGATCCTATAGCATAGACAGGAACTTCAGCCCCTGCCTGAAGGAGGAATTCTGGCCGCAATTCAATTTTGGGCATGCAAGCCAGATGAATCCCTGTCACATTGTAATCCCCTTCTGTCAGCACCACTGGGTAGATCTAACCAGGAAATCAACTCCACAGGAAGGCTAAGATTATTATAATTGGGACTGGCAATAACAGAATCTTCCAAGTCTAATTGTGATGTACTTCCTCCCCTTATTCTTTATAGTTCAGTGAATTAGCGAAGTGTCTGCCTGAGCAGCTTCTAAATGTTACCTTGTTCTGCACTTAAAAAATGCTTCAGCCCCTTTTGCCTATGTAATGGTTGTTGCAGGATTCTATCAAGGTTATCTGCCTTACCCTGTACACCCAGGTTTCTCAACCTTGACAAATTTTAAGATGTATGGACTTCAACTCCCACAGTTCCCTAGCCAGTATGTTTGTTTGTTTGTTTGTTTATTTATTTGTTCAACCTGTATGCCGCCTTTCTCCGAAGACTCAAGGCGGCTTACAATACATTTAAAAACTATATATAAAAACATTAAAAATTAAAACATTAAAAACAATTAAAACCCATTCACACCATTCATGGCTGGATTTCGCCAGATCGCAATAGCGAGATCAACGGCCCCAGGCCTGCTGGAAAGGCCAGGTCTTCACCACTTTTCAGAAGGCCAATAGGGTGGGGATGGTCCGGATCTCAGGAGGTAACTGGTTCCAGAGAGCTGGGGCAGCCACAGAGAAGGCCCTCCCCCGCGGGCCCGCCAGCCGGCATTGTTTATCTGATGGGACCTGGAGGAGACCAACTCTGTGGGATCTTACCGGTCGCTGGGAGCTATGCGGTAGAAGGCAGTGGCTGGGGAATTCTGGGAGTTGAAGTCCACACATCTTAAAGTTGCCAGGATTGACAAACACTGCTCTGTACCTTCGATACTTTGGATAAACTGACATTTGGATTATCCAGACAGAACTGGATTCCTTTTGACTGCAGGGTGGTTAAAGGTGCTTTAAAACTAAAAATAATACAAGCATCACAGCTGGACAGAAAACTTAATAGAATATATATAGGACCAAACCATATGCAGTACTTTGAAGATGTTTTAAAGGGTTTAGCCTCTAAGAATAATAAAAAATAATTCCAGTCTTACCTTGTTATTAATATCACATGTTTCAAAGGTAAGATTAGGCTGCTTCACAGTGATGCATTTATTCATTGCTACATTAATAATCTAGAACAAATAAATGATTGAAACACATATTCAGAAAAAAAAAATAACTTCAAATTATACCAAAAAAGACAATGGTTGACTGAAAATGTTGACGCAATTAAATTTTATAATCACTATTTAGCATTTGTAATCTGCATCTGATTGTATTTTATTTGTGGAAGAAAAATATTATGCACTGAGTACGCCAATTTATTACCAGCAAAATGTATTCGTATGCCTGATTCTCCCAGGATGGAAAAAGTACTACCAGAAGGCTGAAATGAAAAGAAATCTGAAAGGCCCTTAAATAAATTTTATAAAGAACTACAGGAAATGAGTGAACAGCTCCAGAAAACATTCACTAGAGATAGAAAAATGGATGGAGAATTTAAAAATGAACTGATTGCTGATAGAATGTACAGGTAGTCGTCGACTTACGACCACAATTGAGCCTTGAGGGTTGACTCAGCCTTCCATCCTTCCGAGGTCGATAAAATGAGGACCCAGATTGTTGGAGGCAATATGCTGACTCTGTATAACCCTCTGTAAAGAGAGGGCTGTAAATCACTGTGAAGTGGTATATAAGCAGGGGTGAAATGCTCCTGGTTCGGACCGGCTCGGGCGAGTAGGTAGTGATGGCGGCGGGCAGTTCGGAGAACTGGTAGCAAAAATCCCTGCCCCCGCCCCCCCCATGCCCAGCTGAGCTCCGCGATCATCAGTGTCTTTTTTTCCTTTTAAATAGCTCTGACCAGCCAAGCTCAGGCAACTCAGTTTGGATCACCAGAGCCATGTAAAAGCCCCCCCCTCTCCCAGCCTCCAGCTTGCTTACCTTAGCTGATCGCATGACGATCGCAATCCATGCATCAGCAAGCAACTGAATCTCCCTGCCTGCCATCAAGCTCATCGGTGAGCAGCTCTTTCTGCCTGCCTGCCTTCCTGCCTAGACTTGTGGACTTCAACTCCCAGCAAAGCTGGCTGAAGAATTCTGGGGGTTGAAGTCCACAAGTCTTAAAGTTGCCAAGGTTGGAGACCCCACTCCAAAACTTATTGGGTAAGTTTTTTTCCCCTTTGGGAGCTTAAAAAAAAATAGTTAATTGGGTTTTTTTTTAGTTGTTCTTTTTTTAGACCTAGCCATTTAAAGTTTAGGAAGTTTTAAATTTAGCTGCTTTTATATAAAAATAAAAATAAATTAAAATAAAATAATATTTGTGCAGCTTTGTGAGATTTAGTGTGTTTCTGTAGTGTTTCACTCTAACTACACAAATACACAAAATCTCACAAAGCTGTATGTAGAATTTTGTGTGTGTAAAGTGTGAAAGTTGTTTTTTTGCGCGTTTTGTGGCTGTGTGAGGTTCCTGCTTGTTGCGGGGCCATTTTGAGTCTAGCACAGCTGCTTTTACATTGTGGGTGAGCCAGTTGTGTTGTGTTTTGTTTTGTAGGTTAAAAAAGGGCAAAGAAGTGACATTGACTTGGCCACGCCCACCCAGTCACCTTACCACCAAGCCCCGCCCACTAATTAAGCCACGCCCACAGAACCGGTAGCAAAAAAATTTAGATTTCACCCCTGTATATAAGTCTAAGTGCTATTACATAAGTCTCAGGTCTTATTACATTAAACAATTAATTTCCAACACCACACTTACAAAAATGATTCTGCAATTCCTTCTACGTGGAAATGTGAAGCTGAGATAAGCACACACACACAAATGACACTATCTCAGTCTTCACCTTGTAGACTTGAATCTAAGCTCTTACCAGTGTTCAGTCACCTCTACAACTGTCTATCTCTCACTCAAGGCATCTTTTCCTCTGCTTCATTTCCTTCAGCTCTGCTCATATTATAAAAGTTGTGCTATGCACTATTTGCACAAAAAGCACAGTTTGCCTCACGCCTCTTTGATCGATTCTACCTCTATCTCCAGTTTTAGGTGAACAAACAAAAACACTTTAATTTCTGTTGATCAAAGTTAATACACTTCCTGATTCTTCTCAACAATCCTTGGCTGTCCAAACTTAACTTTCTCTACTTCAGATGCTGTCGCAGTTTATCAGAAGGGAGTTTCCAAGAGTTATTTCTATTTGTCGCTATATCGTATCAGCAACCTAAGCAGGGACAGGTAAAAATGTAATTATCCACAGCTGACCTTTTGCAGTTAATTTGGTTGCCCAACCCATTGAAACAGCAATCTTCTATCTTAAAATTAGTTGGTCTAACCAAGACTAATTCATAGTTTTAAACAAACTCTTCCAGATTAATGAAGTGAGCTGTAATTTGTTATTTTAAAGGTCAAAAAAATAAATATAAATAAGTGGGTAAGCCCTCCTGCTGTTATAAGATCTGTGTTTGCTAATGGGTTTGGAAGATGAGTGACTGGTTATATATAACATTTTTTTCAGTACTGAGATATAAGGCTTATATCAAGAATTCCTTCTTCCCCCGCTTCATAATACCCAAATTTTTGTGATGCTTGAGTTCATGGATAATAGAACAAACTCTAACCTGTTCCTTGCCCTTAGAGTAAGGAGATTTAGAAGAAGAAGGACTCCTCATTCCTATACAAATTCATAATTGTGCTGAAAAAATTGAATCTCAGTAGATGTACATATACCAACTAGCCTAGAATTCTCTCTTTTATGAGCTGAGGTGGTGCAGTGGTTAGAATGCAGCATTGCAAGCTACTTCTGCTGCCAGCAGTTCGGCAGTTCTATTCTCACCAGGCTCAAGGTTGACTCAGCCTTCCATCCTTCCGAGATTGGTAAAATGAGGACCCAGATTGTTAGCAATATGCTGACTCTGTAAACTGATTAGAGAGGAGCTGTAAAGCACTGTGAAGCGGTATATAAGTTTAAATGCTATTGCTATTTACACAACTATTATAATGCAAGAGGTCCGAATTGTTTGATCAGGTCACCATTCAAGTTGTTCTGCAAAATTTGTTAAGATGAACATTATCAAAAACAAGATTATTTTTTTCATACCATTATAGTTTATCATGAGATATATGCAAGGACTAGCCTGGGATAGCAGAAGAACGTTGATGGGTATGTAGAACAGAAGGTCTGATGGAAAGAAGAGGGTTTCAATATGGCCCTGATCTTATGTTTTCATGATGTAGGTTTTTCAGCATGCGAGGCAAGGTAGACTATGATCCTCCTTGTTGAACTACATTTAATCATACATAATTAATTCTGTTTTCCTAACGTGGGATTTAGCAGTTTTATTGTTATTTGCTTGATTTGTCCTGCCATGTTGTTGCTTTAATCCTAATATTTACATTTTGTAAGCTATTTAGAGTTGTGAATACAGTCCAGGGTAAATAGACTGCTTTTAGAGGTAGTCCTTTTAACTTGGGACTGATAACTTGGTCTTGGTGATGTGTTTGCTAAGTGAAAAATGGTGAGTGTAACTGTGCTTATGATGTTACATGGGAGAATATATATGTACTGTAATACTGAATATGTGACACAGAAAGGCACTGTAAAGGTCATAGATGTAAGTATTAGCTACAAAGTTACTTTTCATCGCTGTCTTAACTGTGAATGGCTGCTAAATGAGGGGAATCATGAGTAAGGACTACCTGTATCTGGTATTATGTGTTATGGTAGCAAGTGTTATGGTAGCAAGATACCACATAGTAGTTCCATTAGGGCAAAAATCACTTGAGTAGCATTCCAAGTAGCAATATCACTTAGATTTATAAACCGCTTCATAATGCTTTACAGCCATTTCTAAGCGGTTTACAGAGTCAGTATATTGTCCCCAACAATCTGGATCATCATTTTACCAACTTTGGGGGGATAGAAGGCTGAGTCAACCTTGAGCAGTCAGGATTGAACTCTTGGCAGTGGGCAGAGTTTGTCTGCAATACTGCATTCTAACCACGGTGCCACCACAGCTCTTAGTACGAAGAGTCCTGAGAAATGTACCTTCAAGATGTAGAGAAAACTGTAACGATAAGAAGTACAGTTCCATGTGATTGTTGACAAGATGCTGATATCGTGGCATGAAATTTTTAATTATGCCTTATGTCTGACAAGGATTGTATGTCGTCCTATTGCTCCATGGATTGAAACAGCAGAATGAAGTCCCAACAGATTCCTACATGGCTTGAACAGGCTTCTCAAGCTGCCTTTAGTGATGCCAGGTAAAAAGGCAGCTACAGCAGGAAAACTGCATTTGATTATATATTGATGTGTGTGTGTGTGTGTGTGTGTGTGTGTGTGTGTGTGTGTGTTTATACACACACACACACCAATATATATATATTAAAGAGACTGGTTTTATTTTATGTTAAAGTTATCAGAAGAAGCAATCATAAAAAAATAAAAATTAAAACAGGTTTTGGAAAAAGGAAGCCAAACAACTTCCTCTCATCTCCCATAGGTCATAAAAAGCTTTATGGCTCCACTTTGTAGTTCCTGAGAACACTATTCCAGAGGAACTCATAATACATTTTGTGTTACAATGGCTATCATTTACAGCTTCTAAGTTATCTTTGGAACTGGAGAAGGGGTATTAAAAGCTCCTTAAGATGCACCATAATGCAGTTTTATAGAAGGTCTTGGCTTTGGGACCCTACAGAAACAATTCCTATTTTATTCCAGAAAGGAATAAAATGGATTTCTAGTGCACTCTAGTGGTTGCAAATTGAAAATATGAAATCCTTAAGGCATTGAAGTGAACAGTTCTACAATTAGATTGAATATCTGAAGCATCTGCTTGATATCAACATACCTCATTTAGGTAATAGTTAAATAAATAAATGATAAATTATATAGATTGTGGAAGGCAAAAATAGCAAAGCTTTATGTTTACTGAAGGAGGATCAGTGTTTGGGGCTTACAAATTTTATACATTTCAGTTAATTTACAAATATTGTTCTAAGGATCTACACCAGTTTTCCTGTATAAATTCTGCCAGATAATTCTGGGGAAAGAAATTATAAAACATACTGCTTTTTTCTCTTCTAGATCCCAATGTACTTCTCGTAATACATAACTTTCCACTGACAAAACTGCTATCCTTTCATTATAGTTAACTGATTTCAAATCAGAGATGTTGCACTGCAACACATAAAATATCCAGGAGTAGTAATAGAAAATATTGATAAAAGAAAAAGCAGTGCTTAAGAAAAATGTAGATTTAAGAGAAAAATGCATGAATTCTGCAGCATTTACTTCCAAGACTTCAGCTAAATTTGCATAGGGAACCCATTATCAGTAGGTTGTGATTCCAAAAACTAGAAGTGATAAATGCCTGTCTATTGTGTAACACAAATACATATGTACAGGTCAGGTTCACTCATTAATCTAAACCATAAAGGAGTTTACTTTTACTGTAGCTTTGTGTATTGTGTAAACACATTTTATTTATTGATTTATTGATTGATTGATTGATTGATTGATTGGTTCAATTTATATGCCGCCCTTCTCCGGAGACTCAGGGCGGCTTACAATGCGTTAAGCAATAGCCTCCATACTTTTGTATATACCTGCTTAGTAGGGCTTTCGCCCCACCCCCCCAAAGTGGTCTTCTTTTTTATACAAAGTCAGCTTATTGCCCCCACAATCCCGGTCCTCATTTTACCTACCTTGAAAGGATGGAAGGCTGAGTCAACCTTGAGCCTGGTGAGATTTGAACTCGCAGTAATTGCAGACAGCTGGCAGCTAAGTGCTACTTAACAGCACTTTAGTCCGCTGCACCACCAAGGCTCTTGTAATAGAGTCTTATTGAACATACATACATACCCATCACATTATTTCCTTTCAATGAACATAATATGCTACATGCAGCAAAGAAGCGAGAAACATTAACCAAATAAACAACAGGCATTAAAAATGGATACACATTAAATAAGATTTTTTAAAAAACAGTTATATATAAACTATATCTAGTTTATATGAACACAATTCACTATATCTCTCCATACTTTGCAAACTATCAGAAGTCTTTTATATACTTGCAAACTATCCTTGTTTCTACCAAATCCACATATTGATTTATACATTCATTAGGTTTGTTTTTCTCAGCTACTTCTTTCTAAGATCTCATAAATGCTATCCAAATATAATTTCTGGTACTTTCCCTTCCTATCAATACATCATTTTTTGATATAGAGATTTACTTTGAAATTCAATCCTCATTCAATTTCTCTATACTGTACAACCAAACTACTGCAGTATACTTTTTTGAACTGGTCACACACTTTCATGTTCAATCCACCTTTATTCATTCTTGTCCCTAGCACTTCCTCTTACCACAGATTTCTTAACTTATTCCCACTGCATTTTACTTTTTCATTTCTCCGGACATACCCAACTTTCACCATTATTATATCAAAGAGAAGAAAAACACCTTCTTGTAGACAGCCATTTTTGCTTCTTTTGAGTCTTGCAACATACAACATACTACCCTTTTACTAGCCTTTGTATGTCTTGAAATTTTGCTACCTTTGTTTCATTTTTTTTAGTAAATATTCTACAAAAAATAGAAAAAATCATCTACATGTTGCACTTCATCATTTATGTATAATTTGCAACTTTCTTATTAATTCAACTTTTTTAGTCAAATATAATTGCTTGATCTTTGATACATTAATTTTATCCATACGCCATATCCTTTCTACATCCTACAATCATTATACATTCATTAAATATCATTCAGATACTCAATCGATACGAGGACACGAATACACACATATTTTACATCTTCATCCAAAAAAACTCTAAGCATTTTGATATTTATCAATAAATATATTAAACAACTCAGAAAATACCACACTTGCTTAGTCCTGAACCATTATCTAATCATTCAATTTATTTTACTTCAATTGTATGCCACTCTTGCCTTATTAGCAATCAATTCCACATTTACAAAAGTGTATTCTAATTATCATCAAATCTAATTGTGTGTGTACACATACACAGACAATATCTTCCAACATACATTTTACCTTTTCGTTATTATTCCTTTACTTCTCCGTAGAACTGTAGATGTAGACCATCATCATTCAGATTCATTATATCCTTCAACTTATTCTTACTTTTATCAACACACTTTCTTAATTCATGTTTAATATTTGTTCTTCTTACATCACACATCTAATCTTCCAAATGTCATGGCTCTCCTATGATGGCCCCATAGATATTGATTCCTACCATCTATTATAGCTTTGGTTAACTGAGTTAACTAAGTCATTAGTCATATCTATTCCAGAAGCAACATTTTGTGCCAATGGCATGGCACAGAAAGTGGTAATCAATTTGGGCACATTTTGGCCAACACATTACAAGACTAACCAAAACTTAAGTTTACTCCAAGCGTGTCCATTAAATTCTATAAAATCTTTGTCTTTACCATTTACTCCATCTCCATTCCAAGTTCTAATCTTTTTGTCATAATTATCACCAGATGGACCCATATATATTAATCTCCTTGCCGATTCAGGCTTTAGTTAAGCTAAGCTTTCACATTTTTAAAATTATAATTAATTAAACCAGACTATAGCACAATGTGTGGATTAAATTATTTGTACGGATAAACCATTCCCAATAACTTTGCTTGGCTTTATCTTTCCCCAGAGCACCTTCTACCTTATTAATGTCAACTTCAACTAGGAAAGATTTTTCTCTTTGGCCTGACAGTTAAATTAACTTTCTCTATCTTTTGAGGCAATACACCTTCAAAAACTAGTAGCTGGGTGAACCAGAGTATGCTACAGAGTCACTCTTAAAAAAGGAAAAGCTGGTAAAGTAAAGGAAAGTTACTATTTTCTATGTAAACAGAATACAAATCAGAGTTTTGGTCACAGCTCCAAATATCAGCAGCCTTAATTCATTAGTATTAATCTATTTCAAAATATTCATCTGACAAAGACTATGCAGAGAATTTATAGAGCCCAGGGCAGCTATCCGCAGGGGAAGACTATAACTCAATATCACAATCTGAAGTAAAGAGGCTCTTAATTTGAAGTTGAAAATTGCTTCAATTCCCCCCTTTATGTAATCCTTAATCTCCCCAAAATTAGTTTTCACTCAGGATGCTTTCAAATCAATTTGCATATCCGTAACATGGAGATACCAGAAATATCCCCCACCCACTCACAGATTTGTTTTCAGTTAAACTAATTCTCTAGAGCACTGGTTCTCAACCTTTTCTTCAACATGGACCCCTCCTTAAATATGTTTTGTGGCAACGAACCATGGCCTCAGACCAGTGGTGGGATTCAGCCAGTTCGCACCTGTTCGGGGAACTGGTTGTTAACTTTCTGAGCAGTTTGGCAAACTGATTGTTGGAAGAAATCATTAGGGGAGAGAACCGGTTGTTAAATTACTTGAATCCTACCACTGCCTCAGACCACCAAAATGTACCTCAAGATTTAAATCATAACATTTGTTCAAGTTTTCACAGACTCCTTGTGATGACATTGCAGGCCCCCAGGGATCCAAGGACCACAGGTTGAGAACCAGTTCTCTAGGGCCCAGTTGGATTGAGGTGACACATAAATTTCATAAATAAGTACAATTTCATAATTCTATCAATCCTAATTGTCCCACTAAGACACTTCAATATTAACTGGTCATCAAGATCTTTTCAATAATTTTACTCCCAATGTTGATTTCTTTTACCTGAAACCAACTGATTTTTTTCAGCTATGTATTTAAACAAGCAGAACTTGAACAAAAAAGCAAGAGCAATATCTGTGGCTTACCCAATGCTATAACAGTAGAAAAGACTATTGCAGATTAGCTGTGCTCTGTATGTATGCTGGCAATTATGTGATGTCAGCAAATGACAAAGTAGAGCTGCACCCTCTTTGTCATCTGACAGTCTTGGGGCCTTCATAGGCTAATGATGAACTCTTATGTTTTTCTATGTTTTACTTTAAATAAAGCATACTGACATTAGAATATTAGAACATTCATGGATCTGACAGTAAGGAAAACCCAGTAGCAATGTCCTTTGATTTTTTATATTGTGGATGTTAGCCTCAGGATAGTGATTCAGTATACTATACATACAGAAATCCATAATGAAGTTTTAAAATGACTATGAATTATTAGAATAAAACTGTGTTATGCAACAAGGTGACATAATAAGCCAACCAATTCACCCACTTATCTCTTCAGAACTTGATGGAAAATGGACGTTGGCCTTATCTGATACGTCCGTTCTCTCGTTTCAAGTAACGTAACTTAATACATTTTGCTGCTGCTAACACAAGATTTTTATAGTGCATAAGAAGAAAAGAAATTAAGCTAAAACCACAATTAACATAAGCACATAGCACAAACCCAAGTTGGTAAAATGAACATACCAGCCCATTAGCTTTAACGAGAGGGGCCTCCAAATCAGGATATACGTTTTCCAAATACCACTTGAAGTTCTTGCACTGAAGCTGCTCCCTCAGTTTCTTCTGTTGAGTCAAATCTCCAATGTTCAAGTTTTTTTGAATAAGGTGATAACCATGACCATAGAAAAGATCTGTGTATTCATCCAGCCAAACTTCTGCCACCCGGACCAAATTCCGCTCTACTGTAGTGAGTCGATCTTTAGGGAAGGAGTAGGGGTTATCATTCCTAAAAATATGACCTACTCGGGAACACGGAATAATCTCAATTTCTCCTCCACACATCCAAACCTGATGAAATAAAATCAGGCCAACAATAGATACAATTTCTAGAAATTTTATTCCACAAACTGCAGTGTGTAGATGTCTTAATTTCTGCATATGTCTTACTTTGTTTTTTTAGCGAGAAATTCCCTATCTACTAAGTTGAGAACATATAAAATTATGATTTGCATCAACCATGTATTTACAGCACAAATAATGGCTTGGGGTTTCAAATTCCTGGATAAGTTATGGTTTATAGAACACCCCCTCAAATTTCTACAACTCAGAATTACTTTCTTGTTGAAACCTTCAGAAGTAAAACAATAGCCATAATGGTTGTTTAGCAATTCAGACATTACACCACTTATAATGAGCACAAATATTATTTTGCACGCTTTTTAAAAAATTTTCTTTTGATGCAAGCCAGTGGGTAGGCCTCAGTCTATCATTTGGTGACTGAAACTTAATGATGAATTGTATTAAAACTTCATTGATCATTTCTTTCTAATGATTTAAATACAAGTATAGATATTGAGGGATTGGTTACCGTTTGAAGCTTTATGTCTTGGTTGAACGGGAAGCTTAGGATTTTATAATGAAAGTTATATTTAGATAATACCATATATATTGCTTAAGAAGCCTGACAATTAAAATATTAATATATTATTAGTTATAAAATTATAAATAATACCCTTATCTATATACAGGGAAAATTTTCTTGACTTTGGTGCACTGACTTTGCATACAATAGACACAAATAACAAATGTTACTTTATTTCATTTGTCTGCTGACTATCTTGCTTAGAGATTTGTATCATCTGTGCAGCCATAATAACATACTTTTGATTTACCAGGCATTGGGTATTAGGGATATCCCCTTCCATAGATACAAATAATCACATCATAATGACATATTGTTTATTTTAATACAGTTATTCCTAATCATCCATAGTTAAGAGAATGCATATGTACGATTTAGCTACTGACAAGAGAGCATTAATTTGATGCTTTCAAGTACGAATCGGAAACAAATGAAAATATGTTTAACCTACCTTGAATGAGATCTCCATATTTTCACCTCCCCAAACATCAAGGCCAGGATCATATGCCCCAAGCTCAAAAAAATACTTCTTATCAATAGAAAACAGCCCACCTGCCATCACAGGACACCTAATAATTGAACCAGACATTACTTGCACATTGTGGTTTGAGAGGGCAAATGAAGTTTTTGTTATTTTGAGACATGTCCTTTTGCACACAAATGACAATTGTTGCATTAAATGCAAACATACCTGAAAGTTCACAACACTGGAAAACTAGTTTGGCAATAGTTCAATGTTTTTTTCAAAATCTTATAAAATCTCTTGATTTATGTTAGGCAATAATTTAAAGTAGAAGCAGGGAACTTGTGGCCACTTATTGCCAAGTTACAAGTTCCATGAACCAGAATGGGCAGAGGTAATTTAGTAATATCTAGAAAATCAAAAGTTCTTTACTCTGCTTTAAAGTAACATTTTTAGTTGAATAAAGAGGTCAGGTTTAACATCATATTAGTTTCCATCCAGAAAGAAGAAATTTGCAAATCATAAACTATGTGTCATTCTACCATGTTGAACATTTATTACTTAAAAAGCAATTCTGATCACAAAAATTTAACTTCATATACTTACCTAATTATATCGGTTTCCTTAATCTTATTTTTTTTAATGACATCTGAAGGAATTGGCTTCCACCCAAAATTCATTGGCCATGTAAAAATACCGCGTTGAAAACTATCCACGGTCATGTAACTAAATGATGGAGAACATGCAAAGAATTAATTTAAGAAGCAAATGCTGAGTCAGAAGCTATAATAAACTGAATGACATCTTTGAGGTTTGGGGTTAACAAAACCAGACTAAAAAAAATAGCCTGCAAAATTATGAACTGATTAATGTTATGATACATTTGTGTTTTCTTACTTTATTTTGAATTAAACTTTATAACAAACAAGAAAAGATCTCAAAAAACGATGTTTTTTGTTTTGCCCAAAGGAGGGCAGTAATCTGTGTTAGAGTCCCAAGGCTTTTCCTGTTGTCACTCATACTTTATAAATGTTTTTAAAGTATTTTGAAGGAACATGCCTAGAAGAGCTTGCTGGATCATGCCTTTCAATATAGAAAAGCTGAATATTAAAAGGAGAGAGTCAGAGTACATGAGATCATGAAGGTGTGACCAATTCAGTTATCGGTGTACCCTTGGAAGACTATGTTCAATTCTGAACTATGCTAAACGTCCTCTCTGCCCATGGATCACCCCCCACCCCCCCATATTTTCAAGGGAAACATGGAAGAATAAAACTCACCTCATATCTTTGTCGCTGATCACTTCAATGACAGGGCAAGCAACTTTTTTTCTATTTAAATGAATTCTGTCCAGTAGTGGTTCCAACCACCCCACGTTGCATTCCACATGAGAATCTAAGAAGGTCAGGACATCACCTAGAGGAGCAAGTAAATTTGCCATTATAACAAGGAGACAGGAAAAACTTGGAAAGGTTTACAGTATTTATTGGCCTCTTGAAAAAAAATTATATTTGCTTCCTACTGTGGATAGATATTTAACATATAATCCATACATAGCAGGGAAGTTCATAAGAGACGTTGTTTAAGCATTTTTTTTCTCGGATTATATCTCTTCATTATTTATTCAAAAATTTCCACCTTGCCACGATATAATGTTGTTTTTTACTGTTCACTTTGTCAAGAATCATAAAAAGATTCCGCACTAAAAAGTAACTTGGAAATGCTAATTCTTAACTGTATCTTAATCATACCATATATTCTTTCCAACACACAATTTTTATATACCACTGGGAAAAATGTCCTTTATGGCATTTCACTAATTGATAAGAATGCCTTCGCTGGTCAGCACCATATTCACCTAATTAGAAATTTCTCTAGAGTAGTGAAATTGTGATGTGCTTTAAAGCTTCATTAATATATATGACATATGAGTTGGAAAACGTGTTAATAAAGTTTTTCATTTTATTAACAGAGACTTGCAAACACGGCAATGGTGTAATAATAAAAAGGTATACCTACGGAAGGACAAATTTTATTTCATGCAGAACAATCTTGAAGGTGCTTATTAGCTCTATGTGAGCAATAACTGGTCCTATCACCCGCTAATGCCTCCATCACTGCTGCATATCTGGCAAACTCAAAATGGAGTTGTTATATGCATACTAATATACTAATACTGAGGTCTTTTATAATGTAATAGATTCTCTCTTGCCTGGAGGGGATCTTTGCACATAAGCCCCTTATGGTCATAAAACATATGTCTAGTGGTTACATGACTTGGGTGCATAGTGGTAGGATTAGCCTCCACAAATTTGCAAGACATTTATTTATTTTTAAACATATAAGGGTGGCTGCTGGACTACCAGATGTGAAAATCAATCCCTAACCAATAGAGATATATTATCTAAAGGAAGGAAGATGGAGAAAGAAGTCAGAACGTTTCTCCTCCTTTTGATGATTTTTGGTATTACCTCTGAAAATATTCACCTCTCTCAAAATTTACTTTCCCTCAGTGAGTCTGCATAATTAAACCTTATTGACTGTGTAATGTAATTACCTCATTTTCTCTGGCTACAATTAACCCAACCAACTCATTAAAGAAGCACTGGGTTAATTCACATTTCATTTTGATGGTCATCAGCTTTCAAAACTTGGAGACTTTATTAATTTATTTACATTATCCTATTCATGACACGATTTCCAATAGACCAGGCTTGTGTGGAAAAATTATTCAGGATTCTGAAGGGAAATAGGGTGATAGAATGTACAGGAAAATGCAACAAGGATACCAAATAGAATACCCTTTTTATGACTCTGTAATCCTTTAATTTGGGGAACACAGATTATTATTTTTATATAAAATAGAAAAAAAGAAAATTTCAGGAAGTATTTCTATCACACATCTCAAAAAACTATTTGAGTCCAAAAATCAAAGCAAAAGCATATCTTTCTATCCATTCCTATTCATAAAATTTCCCAGAGCTGATAACAGATAACATTCAGAAGAAAAACAATTCCAAATATATAATTATTCTGAAAACTGGTAAAGTATTAGTAAGAGAATTTGTTGCAATAGCTATTAAAGTAGACAAGATCTTCACACTGGAATATCAGCAGAGCTGGTCTCAAAGTCAGTTCTTGGCAAAACCTTTATATTAACTTGCTACTAAATTTCTATCTTTAGTAGATAGGAAGTTTTAACATTTTAAATATATGTGTAACACTTTCTGCTAAAAACACCAAGGTGCTTCATAGCAAATAAAACAATATCAAATTCATGAAATACTGCATCAACAAGAAAAATATTTAAAAATTAAAAACATTATCTATTAAACTATTAAAAAGGCCAGATTAGAAAGACATTTTGGAATGTAGGTGAATTAATGCTAAATATGCTGTGCAGCGTAATTTAAAAAATATCTCAATTTCAATAAATTTCTTGTATAGTTGTTGGAATAATACATTATACTACATTGTATTACAGCTTATTTATGGCTTAGCCCAGCGTACAAAACCAGAGAGAGATTTTTACACAGTTTAGGTCTCAATGTCATGATTAAAGAGCCACTGTCGCTAAATCAACAAATTCTTTGTTATTACCTTTACAGTGGGGAAGTATGGAAGTTGTTTTTAGTTTTATCTCTAAAATTAGTTTGAAGTCTGATTTGGTTTTTTAATTAAACATAAAATTTAATAATTTTATGGAGTGGTGTTGATAGCCTCAAGTTCTTAGATTCTTATTTTATTCCAAAAGTAGGAAATATATGTGTAGATCAGGGCTGAACTGATGAATCCTTAGTGGTCTCAAAGCTTATAGGGCGTTCCTTAATATTAATAGTAATTAGGGCTAGAATTTCCATTCCTAAGAAGTGTGATGTCATGTCACTGCACCACTTAACAACAATATTTCTGGCAGTCCCCAGTTACTGTTGTTAAGCTAAGACCTTGCAGGTTGTTAAGCAAAGACCTCAGATGATTGCAACTTCTGATTTCCTACCAGTTTCCCCACTGACTTTACTTGTGGGAACCCAAGACTGCAAATCATGTCCACCTGACTGTGAGACACGGCGACAACTGGCAATCCAGGTCAGTTGTTAAGCATTCAGATCACAATCCTGTGACCATGGGGAATTGTATCACATGGAACTCTGAGGACCAGTTTATTTTATTTATTTTAGAAAATTTATATAGCCGCCTACATGCTCACGACAACTAGGTGGCTTACCAGCAGTAAAAACACAAAATAGGAAAAATAAAATAAAAAACAAGTACAAGTTATAAGTACAACTCGGATATATTTACAACTCGTTTGTACAACTCGGTTACTGCTGTCATAAAGTCAGAACCGTCATTAAATGAGGACTGCCTATATTTTATTTTATTTTCAACTGTAAACTGCTTAAAATAATGAGAGTGGATAAAACAAGCCATAACTTCACACAATGTGCGAACTCAGCTGAGTTCTGTGTGTTAGCACCTGCTCCCAGCTAACCAAAGCAAGGAACAAACTACTTAGTTCCCTTTATTCTAATGAAATTTAAACAAACAAATTTCATTTAACAAATTAGATTGTTCTAATTATTTCTGTATCTTGTAGGGTAGCTGCAATTAATCAATCAATGCCATTCTGCTTACCTTTGGCAATCTCTGCTCCAGCTAGTCTTGCTCGTATTAAACCATGCCTTTCTTTCAGATGAAGGATACGGACTTTTGGAAACTGTGCCATGTATTTGTCTAATTTGTCCTTCAGGTAAGCTAAATTAGAACAAAGGAGAATCAAGTATGTGGACTACAGATTGTACCTATTTCAAACTTAACTAATAAAATGGGTCATCAGTCCCCAAACACTGCCTCCGATACTTGTAGAGGATATTGAAAAATACCAAAAAGTTATTTTCTACCAACAGTTATTATTGGGGGTAGAAACTGTATATTACTATTACATATTAATCAACTGATTACATGTCACCCTTACTAAGAAGAATTGATCCAGTAAAATGTTCACAAAGATGCACACATACAAAATACCTGTTATTTATATCAACTGGTCTATCCACAAATCTACAATATTCTTGAGCTGAAGAAGCTTCCTGGATGAGAAGCGAAATGTCTCCAAAGAAAAACCAGAAAGTCCAGTTGCCTCTTGAAAAAGCACCTTTGGGACTACAGTATTCTTGCAATTTGGAAAAATAAACATACCACCTTCTACCTGTCAAGCTGCTTAAAAGTGTCACTTCTGACCGTTTTAAATAATAAAAACCAAGGATCCTCTAAATGAAACAAGGACTTGGTTAACAGCTATCTCCAGGTTTGCAGTATTCTTTATGTCCCACAAAAAGGAAGGAATAAAATAGCACTTTTGGGATGAGGAGGCCTATGAGGCTGCAGAGAATTACTTTTCCTGAAGAGAAAAAAAACCTGAGTTGTCAACGTTTGAAGCAGTCATGAAAATGTTCCTGTCATCAATCAGCTGCTTCTGCGTTACAAAATGGCCCAATGATATTTTCTGGGAAATTATTATTAAAGGAAAAAAGAATTATCTGCACTATCTACAACTATCGACCAAGTACTGCCAAATCTTTTTTTCCCCTATAAGGATTTCATAGTTTTAAAGTGTTTTTGTCATAATATATTTACACAACTTCCCTCTCTCTATAGGTCAAAAGCAAATTCTTTCTACCAGGCTTCAGCGGCATACTTAGCTGATCTCCCATTCGTTACAGACAAGCATCCAATGACCCCAAAATATTCTGGATGCTTTTAAGTCAAATGCATATGTATGGTACATTTGTTTCTAAATTGTAAGGGGAGGAATAATATGATATAATTTAGGAGAAGGGAGGGCAGAATCTGGAGGCGGAGTGAAAAGAGGGATCACACTAGAATCCCTACGTAGCCACAAAAGAACTAACTGCTGTTGACTCTGTTCCAAAGAGGTGACCATCGTTAGTTGAGGAGATTCCTGTGCACAGGCATGAGTAGCAATAAATCCATTTATTGGCGTTTCATGGGTGGACTTGATCTTTTGTGCTTGACATATGGGGGCCCACTGAAGCAAAATAAGGCCATTTTGACATTTCAGGAAATGTATGGGATGCATTGGAGAACCTCAGTAACTTGTATCATGATGAAAAAAAAGTTTTGTTTTCAAACAACAAATTATCAAATGGCATGTTGATTCTAAGACACTGACTTACCTCTTGTGCTAAAATCATCCACCAAAATAACTTCTTTAATCAATTCAGGGGGGGACCGGTTGAGGATACTATGGACAGAGCGCAGGAGAGTGGACCATACTTCATCGACAAAGCACATGATAATGCTAGTGGTGGGAAGGTCATTGTGGACAAGAAGATCTGAACATCTGGAGCAAAAGAGATTAATAGCATAGCATAATATATCATAAACACTTGATACAAGCTTACTGGTAGAAGTGAACATTAACTTCTCTAATTGCCATAAAAACTTTATTTTCTTCTGAGGACGAGAGTTGAGCACTAAAAAATAAATTCTAGTTAAATTATACCTCTCAAAATGCAAACACTTCCTCCCCGGCAATTAAAAGTTGTGGGAAAGAAATCTGAGCATAAAGAAAGGAAAACTATCACTTGAGTACCTGAATCCAATACAGCTAACAGCATCAGCTGTGAAGCATTGCTAGGCACCCGCTTAATAGAAATTGAGAAATAGTAATGACATAATACTATAATACATCTCAATATAGTGGGGAGCATTAGAGCTATTACACCTGCTCAGTTTGCTGTCCGTGTACTCTCTAATTAGGGAATTTGAAGGTTTTTACTCTTTCCTCTGATAATTTTTTAATCTCAAAATTAAAGTTAGATTGTTCAAACTTCAAACATAAACTGTTTCTTCCATGATCAGACAGTGGCAGGTGCATATCTGTAATATCTTCTTCTGCATATCCAAGCAGATCAGACCAGGTGAAGACAATATGTAAATAAGCATCAGGGAGGAAAAGGATCTGTTCAAGGAAAAAGGCCCTGTTTAGGATTACAAACTAAAGGCTTTGGCACCGATTCCATGGGCTGACCTTGACTGTAACTGCACAAATACTATTGTAACCAAACAGTGACTGAGTTTCTGACAAAAATATCACAGTGAGAAATTCTGCTCTTTACAAAAAGACCACTTTTTGGGATTAATGAGCTGGTTTTCACTGAAATTCACAGAATTTATGCCCCATCCTGGGCCAGAAGTGGAAGCATATCAATAAGACATGGTCCTTGGCCTTTAGACTGTCAATTTTTGTGCCTACAGTGTAGCTATATGCTAGATACAAATCATAAATTACAGTTGCATCTTCATGCCACACAAGATCCAATTTACATTATATCAAAAAAAACAGGACCCGCTGGTGCATAATTTTTTATACATTCTAAATTTAAAAACCAAGTTTTTTCTGGCCTCTTTTAGTAAGAGCATTTTTCAAGTCCTTAACTCAGACACTCACAATATCTCATTCCTGAGTAAAAATTTCAGATCCTCGTTAATTTCTGGATGGGTCCAGACAGATTTGCCTGGTTCTCTTCAACTGTCAAAAGAATACTGAAAATAGAGGGATTAGGAGAAGGGGAAAGCTTAGTATACCAAAGAGCACATGTAGAACTTTTAAAGTTCAACTTAAAATCCAGATTTGTGGCCTGGTCTGATTGCTTCAGTTTTAAGAAACATATTGTTGTTGTTCAGTCACTAAGCCATATCCTATTCTTTAGAACCCCATGGATCATAATACACCAGGCCCTCCCTGTCCTCCATTGTCTCCGAGTCTGCCCAAACTCATGTCCACTGCATCAGTGACACTATCTGCCCATCTCATCCTTTGTCGTCCCCTTCTTCTTTTGCCTTCAATCTTTCCCAATTTTTTTCCCAATGAGTCCTTTCTTCTCATTTGGTGGCCAAAGTATTTGAGCTTCGAGATACATATTGCCAGCTACCAAATAGGCTTTTCAGGCACATCCACATTATATTATCTTAAAATATGTACCCAGTTCTGAGATTGACTAGAAGACTTTTTTCAAGAAAGCCATGGAGCTTACTGCCATTATATAGGATGCTGGAAAAAGCAAGATGTAAAAAACTCTGCAAATGCCATGAAGTTACTACCCAAAGAAAACAACAAAGGAACTAATTTTGTAGTAAGATTAAAAAAAATGGAAAGACCCTTGCCAGGAATTTGTGATTGGGGATATGTTTTCCAGTTTCCTCCAAGGGTTAATCAAGAAACGAGAAGACTGAAAAGTGAAAACTATAATGAGGCATGGTGTTTTCTAAGCATTCCTGCAAGGAGGCAAAGTTATTATTTACTTTATAATATTATTACTAATTTAATAATAATATTATTGCTGGTATCCTCAGATAGCTGCAAAGCCTTGGAATAGCACTCTTCCATATTCCATCCCCACATAAAATATAACATTTTTCTGACCTAACATTGCATGAAGAAACATGTGGCTGGAGATAAATACTCTTATAAATTTGTCACAATATTCCAAGCTGGACAAAGTCAACCAAAGCACTTGAGTAAATTAAAAGAAGCTAGATGCAGCCATTCAATGCTATTCTGACCATGAATATCATAGTGAAGGTCTACTGGCAGAGAAGGAACCCCCATAAAGGACTTCCAACTTAAATGCTTTCCTGAACAAGCGTTAAATTCAATCACAAAGACTCTATGTTAAGTTTAATTGAGAAATAACCTCATACGCTGGCACTAACTGTTGATAGAATTTCTGTTTGTATTAATACATCCTTGTCGCTGGCAAAGAATAGTCCCTAGTGGATGATAAAAATAAAAGATCCAGGCTGCAGCCTGGATTTCTATTAGCCAGTTTCTAGTTTTAAAATAGCACCCGCCTCCTGTGATCAAGCAGGGTGGCCAAAATAGTCTTCAAATCCCAAGGCACCTACATTATTTTTCCAAAGGAAAATCTTTGTTTAAAAAAAAAAAAAACAAGGGTTGGCAATCACAATGTGTTATAAGGAAATAGAAGTCAAGAGAAACGAAATAATTTATGAAGAGCAAACACTGTGGATTTTATGGTACAAGGAAGCTAGATGTGAAGCAAATGTAAACTCTGTGTAAACTGGAAGCATCTAATACCTAAACTAATGTTTTCCAACTGCCCAGAGATTACAGCTTCCAGAAGTCTAAGCCAACATGGCCCCGGGTCTCCTGGGAGTTGTAATCCCGATTTAACTGGAGTTATAAAAGCCTGAAAATAGGTAACATGCTATTTTAAGTATAAAATGGATAGCACCTCCATGGCTTATCTAATTTTTCGTGCACTCATCTGTTCTAGATCTGCATTATTGTACAGTAAACCTTTCTTTCTTTTTTTGCCAACTTGTGAGACCTTCTAGCAGTCTCCTCCACTTTGGTTCTTCTCAGTGCAATTTTAATAATTCTACATGTGACTGAGAAATGAGGGTTGTAATCCAAAGTAACATAGAGGGATTCAGGTAGAGAAAGACTAACATATAGAAATAACTGAAGATACGGAAAACCCTATGATATATAATCCAGAAGCATAAAGGAACATATGATTTTTCTTTTGAGCCTAAATGCTAACATGCCAGCACCAAAGCTGAACCTTCTCAAAGTTGCCATAACAAAGGTAAAATTACTTTTGATTGAAAAAATAAAGAATAATCAAAGCCTGAAGGCCACGTATATTATGAACTGGGTCTTACTTGGACTTATTCAGTAACACTCATTGCAACTCCAAAAATGGCAAGCCAGCATGATGTGGGAAGCCCTCCCCCCACTTTTAGAACAATGAAATATTTTACAAAATATTAAAAAGGCAGGATAGAATATTTCCTCTAAAGGAGAAATGGGGAAAAAAATCTTAAGGGAGGTAGAAATCAGCATCAGTCTCCCTGCCCCCAAGCAAAAACTGAGGAGGCCAGCTTTTAGAAATGCAGATTTGGCAATCCGTTCAGAAAGACTGGGTCAGACAAGAAACTCCAAATAAGCAATTAAGAAGCCAAAAGGGTTGAGAGAATTAGCTCAGACATGTACCTAGGAATTGCATTTCCCCTTTTGCCTATAGAGCCAGCCATGACCCCATAGAAATCTGACAACAGCCAATAGAATATTTTCTTGCACAGGAACAGGAAGCTCAAATACAAAGCCCAAAGAAGGTATAAAAATCCACCCACTCTCAATTCCATTTTGTCAACTGTCCCTGAATCACATGTGGTTGGTAGTTCTGCTTCGTCAATAAAGGGAACCTTTCTTTCTAATCAGTCTCCAGCCTCCATTTTATTTTCAGTACCTTTCTCCCGGCTTGGAACTGAACCAGATGGATTTTTCTTTCAACAATGGGAATCAGCTTGGAAAAGGCTGTAGTAAGAAATGCCTCTCCAGGGGAAAGGAGAAAGTAAATCACTGAATCTACCTCTCTATAAATGTGTTCCACTACTACTATAATTACCTAACACTATAGATTGATCTCTGAAAATTCCCTAGCATAAAACTGCAATGTGAGTTTATGGAAGTTATTTTTTATTCTTAACACAATTCTTATACAAGCAAACCTAGTTTTATTCCAGCTGGGAGAAAGAAAAAACAACAACTTGATTTCCAGTGCACTCTAGTGGCTGCAGGTTGGAAATGTGAGGTTTCAGAATGAATTAGTTTTGGTACTCAGAAAAAGATGAAAAGATAAGAGTGTCAGGAAGATAGCAAGAACCTTTTAGTTATAAAGCTTTAGCGATAGTGACAAACCCCTAAAACATTCTGCATCAGTAAGTATCTGAGTATCATGCAGTGGTGGGATTCAAAATTTTCTACTACTGGTTCTGTGGCCGTGGCTTGGTGGGCATGGCATGGCTTGGTGGGCATTGCAGGGGAAGGATACTGTAAAATCTCCGTTTCCTCCCCACTCCAGGGGAAGGATACTGTAAAATCTCCATTTCCTCCCCACTCCAGGAGAAGGAAACTGTAAAATCTCCATTTCCTCCCCACTCCAGGGGAAGGAAACTGTAAAATCTCCATTTCCTTCCAATCAGCTAGGACTCGGGAGGCAGAGAATAGATGGGAGCAGAACCAGTCAGAGGTGGTATTTACCAGTTCTCCGAACTACTCAAAATTTCCGCTATCGGTTCTCCAGAACTGGTCAGAATCTGCTGAATACCACCTCTGGTGTCATGTGACACAATGTTCTTACAAAGATTAGTAAAAAGGCAACACTATGATACTTTGCTGCCATGTATGCCCCAGGTTATGAGCACAGATCGCACACACTTTTAACTAGGCCAAGGTACTTTCAAAAACTTTCATTTTAATATAGTTTTAGTACAATGTAAAATAACAATTCACAATTGTCCTTGAAACTG